AAAAAATACATCTACTTCCAATAAATGGAAAAAAGGGTTTATGTTTTAAGGATTGAAGGCAATCAAGTATGAACAGAAAACAAAATTGCTTCACATTTCAGGGAAGATGTACACACACTGGACTACGACTATCCTTACAATGACGTATATAAGACAATATGTAAAATGCCCAACTTCTAATCAGATGCACCAGGGAGAAGGGAAAAGCAGCAGCAAAAGCATGGCAGAGACAAACAGATAAAAGGAGGAAGGGAAACGGACAGAGAAGAGAAAGCTATCAAACGCCAAAAAGAATGTGGAGCAGAAATTCATAAATCAGGAGTGAAGGAAAAAAAAAATATATATATATGGTTTTTTTTCCTCCATGAGGCCACTGCAGTGGGCTTTCTTACACACTTACCACAATGCATTAGCATGAAGGAGACCCCGTGCATAAATCTCCAGTGACCGAGAGGTAGCATGGCAGCTCCCCGTCCTCACCCCACCTCCACTCCTCCCTTCTCTCTCCTTCAGTGCATGGACCAGCTTCTAGCACAGTGCTCAGGATTTAGCAAACATCTCTAAATCTTTGCTAAATGATTACAGTGATGCCTGTTCTCTGAAGGGAGCCATGTGATGGAAGACCGGGCAGGTAGGAAGCAGAACAGGAAAGCACACTGTCCTGAGTCCCAGCAAAGCAAAAATGGAAGCAGGATGGGCAGTAAGTCACACTATCAGGGGCCTCTGAACCCAAAGGTATGGGGGCCAAGACAATGAGAAAGAATGACTGTTTCAACAAGTGCAAATGTTAAAACCCAGTCATTGTTTGCTTTTCTAACTTTTTGGTTGTTATCTTGTAGCCACAGAATCTTCCTGTTCCTTTCTAATTTCTAAAAAAGAAGACTCAGTGCATAATCATAATTCATTCTGAAGGCCCTGGTCCAGCCATTGTCATTTCAAACTCTCCCATTGATCAAGGAGCCATAAAGGCCATCTAGTCAAATGTGCTCATTGTGGAGATGGGAAGCTGAGTGATGTGCCCCATCAGTGACAGGAGGAATCAAACGCTGGTTCTTTGAGCCCTGCTGCGCTCCATCCAAGCCACTCATGTCTTGAGGGCACCTACCACTTCTCCAGGATAAGTCCACTGAAGGTCAACCACCTCATTGTTAAAGACAGCACAGGTGACCACAATTGTTTCCCCTGACTTATACACAGTTTTAGGAGCTTCCATTTCTAGATCCAGTTCTGGTGTTGCTATAAAAAAAA